ACCTTTTAACAGCCTCTCAGCAAGACTGTGAGGCAGGAAAGGCACCTGCAGAGCACCTTGCACACTGGCTGTCTCGATCAAAGCCTTCTGGCAGTTCTACAATATTTAATAAAAATACTTCCTCTGTTGCAGGCAGCAACAGCATTTTCCAGCCTGGCTACTATTCACAGTAAACACTCCATACAGTTTCAACATTCAATCCTCCTCCACAGACCCCAGTAGCAAAACTTGCTCATTCCAACAGTAGGTCTCCCACAGGCCATCAAACCACCCAGTGCCAGTTTTTGGACAGAACAGGTGTGACTATAAAAGAGCCTGCTTAGCATTGTTAACTTTGAGTTTTGTTAATTTGATCAGCTGCAGACATTTGGGTCAACAGTTCTTCCTCTATTTGACCCTGTGCAGTAAAGCAAATTGACTTCACATAGAAAAAGGACACAGCTAAGCTACATTCTCCACCTGATTTTCCATCTCTGTCACCAGGCAAAACCTTACAGAAGTACATCCACCCACATCTCTCCCAAGGAAAAGGGTGGATTCAGAGGCTGCAGGCAAGCCCCGTGTGTATTCTCCTCCCACAGCTCTCCCAGAGCACAGCATGGAGCCACAGCTTCCCAGCCGTCTGCATTCTTCTTTACTTCTCCTCCAGCTCAGCAGTGTTCCCTGGTTTCATTTGTGTGAACAGAGAACCTCAAGTAAACGAAAAGTGCCTTCCACTGGGGACTGCTTCTGCTGGACCACTTGGGCAGCAACAGGTTGCCCTGTGCAGAACCAGAGTTCAGACCATGGGAGGAACAGAACGCATGACCACTCACTGTCTTTATGCTGCTGTTGCTCCAACTCTTTCCTCACACATTCATTTTCTCCCAGAAGTTTTTTGCTGCTTAAAGAAAGTGGGAGAAGTTACATTGTCCTCCAGCACCTTCCTCTGCACCAACCCTGAGTCTGCAAAGGTCTTAGCACTGACACCTCATTTTTTTCTTGTGGATTGTTGGCATTGAAGTACAAATAAGATGCACAATCTCCACACTGCTGATGAAGCACCTACTGTTGCTAGTTATGGCATTCAGTTTTCAAACCCTATGTCCTCCTCAGCAAAGCCTCCAAGCTGCTCCAAGTGCTGTTCCACAGTCACTGAACATCCTCTGTAACAGCAAATGGAAGCAAAGGAAGGGCAGGAGGTGTTGAATTCCCAGCCTAGCTCTTCAGCTGCTGGGACAAAACAGATAAGAATAGGATCAAGAAACACCTGGTAACATGATTTCAAGGTTCAGTCCCTCACCAGTCCCTGACAGAGGCACAGCAGTAGCCCAGGAATCCCCCTCTGCCACTCCACTGTATGCTCAGCAGAGCACAAAAACTCTGTCCTTCTGGACCACTATATCCAGACACAAAAACAGATAAGATGCACATTAAAAAATCAAATATTTGAACTAACCACCCTCAAAAACAACTTGGCCACCTTTCTAAACACTGTGTGGCACAAGGGCTTCAGCAAGGGACTCCATTGGAGGATATCTGAGTCTAGACCAAGCTTGGTCATGGTCCTCCAGGTAATCACTTCAACTTGTTGAACCTGTTTTCCACAGTCCATTTTCTCTCCTGGGAAGCAAAGGTGCTTCTCAGGTTTTCAGATCACTAAAGAAAAGGCAAAAGAAGAATTAAAAAAAAAATTAAACCCTTCCTGCCTTACATCCAATACTTGTCTGTGCTCACTTTTTTAGCACAGCTACATTGTGCCAAGCTCTGCTCACAGCCTGTTGTTTCTTCAGTGAAACTTCAGCAACCTAGACAAGAAGTGATTCATGTAAGACACTTCTGTAACCATCAGTGCTTCAGTTCCAGTACCTTTACCTTCACTACCTTCTAGCTTATTGACGTCCTCCTACTGGAGCTCTTTCTCCTGCTTTAGACAATTCACAGACTGAGCTACTCAATGAACTGAGTAGAGTGGCAAAAGCAGATTTTGTATGACAATAACTTTGTCAAGGAAATAACATAGTTAGTAGGGTGGTTCAACATCAGAAGCTGGAAATACAGCAAGATCTGGAGAGAACAAACCTTAATTCTATGTAAGACTGATGGGATCCTTCTGCCCTCCTCCTACAGAAGACATGGATACAATATGAAACAAGTCTTGGGGTACTAGATGAGGCAACACCACAAAGAAAGAAGTTTGCATATCAAGTACTACTGTCCCAAATAACTGGGCAGATCTGGTGTCCTGACACCTAATAAAACTCAGAACTAATGGCTGGAGAATGGTGCACAAGAACTATGAAGATTATATTAAGCAGCTACAAGGATTAGGGTAAGAAGCCCGATATCTGAGGCTTGGTGTCCAATGTGGCAAATGTGTCGGTAGGGAATAGAGAAGCTGCAAGAAACACATCCTTTCCGATGGGAAGGAGAGCAGTGTCCACCCACACAGGAAGGTGGGGCTTTCAGTGTACGATGACAGAAAAATATGCACAAGAGAGTCATACACCACGGATGGGCACACGGCACCGCTGTGCCAGGAAAACTTCCTTCCCAATCACCTCGGCCTGGGACGGCTGCGGGCTCCCGCTGCTCCGCTGCGCACGGCAGGCCCCGC